CACTCCTGTGATAACAAGTGCTTTAATCCCAACTTCTAGTTACTAAGGGTGCTTTCAAGGAACTCAGTCAGCCAGCCTCTCCTGCTCTCTGGTACCTCTATCATCTGGCTCCAGCAGCCAGATCTCTCCCAATACCACCTCTGACTTCAACAGCCAAGAATTAATGCAATTGATTGCCTGAGCCTGGCAACTGGGCTCTTTGCGAGGACAATGGCACTCTCTGAGTTTTCCCAACTCAAGGAATGACCTTCCACTGTTTTCCTAACCCTGCTCATTGTGCATCATAAATGAAGTACACAGAATAGGTTTTCAGAAGAGGAAAATACTGAGAAACCAGTTTCAACAGACACTTAACACTGTAGAGATATGGATGGCAAATAAGCACATAAAAAGTTGTACAACACAAACCATTAGAGAAATGCAAAATAAAACTACAATGAGATACTATTGTGCACCTGCTGGAATGACTGAAATTTAAAATATTAACAAAAAGTATCAGCAAAAATATGGAAAATCTGAGAACTCATATAATACAAGTGAAAATATAATAAAATGACACAATTACTCTGGGGAAAAGTTTGGTAGTTTTTCACAAACTACCCAACACAGTCATCTTATTTCTAGATATTTACTAAAGAGAAATGAAAATATATGGATTTGTACATGAATGTCCATTGCAATTCTATTTGAAATAGCCCCAAACTGGAAAAAATCTAAGTGCTTGAATGGATAATGATGAATGGATAAACTGTGGTGTTATCTATACAATGGAATAAAGCAATAAAAGGAAGTGAACTATTTGTAAGTGCACTAATATGGATGAATCTCAAAATAATTATGAATAGCAAAAGAAGTCAAACACTCCCTTAAAGAGTTTTCATTATTTGGCTTAATAAAGTTGTAGGATTAAATAAGTCTACAGTCACCAAAAGCAAATTGTCAGAGGTTGGTTAAGGGATGATTTTTAAAAAGAAGGAAAAAAACATTTTGGGACTGGAGTAATAATACTCATTGTCCTCAACATGATGATGGTTCTGTGGTTGTATTCATATGTCAAATTTATCAAATAGTCACTGTAAATAAGAGCAATTTATTACATGGCAATTAGATTTTAATGAAAATATCAAAAAGTAAAAGAAAACAAAAATATATGATATAGATTCTGGTCTGTGCTTCCAAAAAGTAAATTTTTTTAATCAAATGAGAATGAAAAGGCAACAGAATAAGCAAATTTTGGAGAGAAGAGAAAAATTTTACCTTTAAAATATTGAATTTGATGGCCATACTTAATTCGTATACAGATTTAATACAACTCCAATCAAACTGTCAACAGTATCCTTCATAGAAGTGAAGAAAACAATCCTAAAATGCATATGGAACCAGAAGAGACCCAAAAATAGCAAAAGCAACCCTGCGTAATAAGAGCAAAGCAGGAGGCATCACAATCCTGGACTTAAAATTGTATTACAAAGCTACAGTAATAAAAACTATATGGCACTGGCACAAGAACAGACATTAGGATCAATGGAACAGAACAGAGGATGCAGAAACAATCCCAAGCACATTTAACTATTTGATCTTTGACAAAGGGGCCAAAAAGGAAAAACTGGCTATCCACATGCAGAACATTGAATCAAGGCCCATGTCTCTCAAAATGTAGTAAAGTATAATAAAAATGAATTAAAGAAGTAAATACTAAAACAGAAACACTTAACCTGCTGGAAGATAAAATAGGTGAAACTCTTGAAGTCACTGGCATGGGCAAGGACTTCATGAACAGAAGAACCCTGGTTGCACAAAAAATAGTACCAAGAATCAAACAATGGCATCATATCAAATTAAAAAGCTTCTGTATAGCAAAAGAAATACCAAGAGAGTAAAAAGACAACCTACAGAACAAGAAAATATTTTTGTCAGCTATTCCTCAGACAGAAGACAGATATTTAGAATATATAAAGAATTCAAAAAAATGAACCCTTCCAGAAAAAAACCAATCAAAAAATAGGCAAGTGAAAGAAATAGACACATCATAAAAGAAGTACAGGGCCAGGGATTTAGCTTAGAGGTTCCACCCCCTGCCTTGCAAGTGCAAGGTCCTGAGTTCAACCATCCCCCCACACCAAAAAATAAATAAATAAAAAGAAGTACAAACAGCCAATAGATACATGGAGAAATGTTCAACATCACTGGCTATTAGAGAAATGCAAATTCAAACAACACTGAGATTCCATCTTACCCTAGAAAGAATAGCCATCATCAAGAAATCAAATAATAAATGCTATTGAGGCTGTGAGGAAAAAAAGGAACCCTTCTACATTGTTGGTAGGAATGTAAACTAGTACAACCATCAGAGAAAGTAGTATGAAGATTCCTCAAAGGCTAAAAATAGAAATTCCATTTAATACACCTATTCCCCTTCTAGACACCTTCCTGGAAGAGTTAAATACATCATATTACAGTGACACATGCACATCCATGTTTATAGTAGCATAATTTATAATAGCTTGCCAGGCGTGGTGGCACACGCCTGTACTCCCAGCACTCAGGAGGCTGAGGCAGGAGGATCGCTGCGAGTTCGAGACCAGCCTGGGCTACATAGTGAGTTCCAGGTCTGCCTCGACTGCATAGTGAGAGACCCTATCTCAAAAAAAAAAAAACAACAAAAAACAAACA